ATGGTCGCATCCCTGAACTCGATTTCAAAGTTCAATCAGACAAAGTCATGGGCAATAGCTGATATATCTCTCGAGTTTGAAGTCTTGTCACATACACGTCATTTTCCGGTAGCGGTACCATTTCGGAGCATTTGCTATGCATAATATTTCCTCAATGATTTGCGTGACGGACATACATACATTTTAAGTATATAAGGGAAGTGTAAGATGAAGGCTGATTTGAGGTCATTTTGTCCCTTAACGCGACCCTTGACCTTCGTCATGACGATCTAGATGAACTTGACCCGCTTTGAGACTCTACAGTTTTTATTAAACCATTAATTGATATATATATTTTTCTTAATAAAAAATAATTTTATTATAGACTATTAAAGACATTATGTTTAAACGTGTCGTATAAATTTTCCATGTTCTGCTATAAACATTGGAAGTTTAAAGAGTTATAAAGTTGGGTTTGATACAAGTCACTGCGAACGTCTTTACTCGTTAGAGTATACAGCGACCGAAGTATAGTATAAATTAATTATTTTCTAATATATGATATATTAAAACAATTTTTGTGTCTAAGAAGTGTAATTTTCAAACCTTCCTTTTGTTTCAAAACGAAATTGTAAGTTTTGAGAACCAAATAAATTATCAATGTACAAGTAATATCTAGAACTATAACAGGTATATAGATAATGATAAGATTAGATGTTTTTGTAGATATTGAAATTGTTTAGTACACGGAAATCAATAAGTTTTTAAATATACATGAAAATTACTATGGATATTCTGTTTTCTATAATTCCAATATTCTACCTTTATAAATCTCTGCTAACTAAATACAAACAGAATAATGTGTTTCATGGAGACAAAACCTCTCATCATTCAATGTATTCACGGTGCGTGTGTCGGGTCCATCATTGTAGTGAGAGGAGCTTCAACAGTGACTGGGACTTGTGACCCAGGTGTAGGTTTAATGGACCCTATCTAACGCATTATACGCTCACCTTCACTCTCCAAGCTTTACAAAATATACATCGACACTATCACGAAATTGACGAATGAAAAACAAAAATAAATAAATTTAATATCAATGCTATATTTCTCTTTTTTATTATACAGAAATATAGTTCTAAATAAATTATAATGATATTTATATTAATTCAATACAAAGTAATCTACTCCCAACACTAAAAAAAGCGGGAATAGTCGCGGGATGTAACATGGTCATGCGATCATCGTTTTTTTCGTCCGTTCATAAAACACTTGTTTATGTTAAAATATTTTAAACGGATTCAATCGTCATACATTTTATTATGAATATCATGCACGCTGGTTAAGCGTGTTATCCTACTGATATAATAAATGCGAAATTTTCTGACGATGTTTGTTGATCTCTAACGTATAGACTACTGAACGGATTTTGAAGAAAATTCACAATAATATAGATGATATATCGGAATACGATATAAGTTATAATTTATCCTGAAATTCTTTGTAGTTCCCGTGATTTTTTTTATAGTTGTATTAATCATGTTACGTAGTTTCTAGAGGTCGTTGACATTTGGTTACCATATATGATTTTAACACATTTTATTATTTTCTATAAGTTAAACTCTGATATTAATGCGGGCGAAGTCGCATGCAGAAACTAGTGATTAAATAAAGTTGTAACTTAATGCGTAGTATGCAGTATACGGCTTCATAGGCATGAAATTCATGTTTGCACTTATATTTTTATATATTCTTTAATTATATATATTAAAATATGTAAATGCATATTATAATTTATATTCATGATAAAATAAGAATCTTCTTTTGTGTGGAAACTATGTTTATACAACATATACTGAGTAGTAATGTTGAGAGATGTTCAAAGTTTAAGATTATTTAAAGATTTATGATCTGAAAGTAACATAAATATTGAGTATAGGTATAAATCTAATTCTATATAAATAGAAATAAGTTATTAAACTGCGTGACAAGAGAACATTACGGTATATTTATGGCCTCACAGTAAAACAATGCTTCTAGATAATGATTTAGAACTCTATATAAACATATTAACACTTTTTTATATTACAATGTAAGATAAATAGTGGAAAAAATTAATAATTATTAATTATAGTTTTTCTATAGTCACGGATAAAAATAATTATTAAATCATCTAATGTTTAATGATAGGAGGAATAATACTACTGTTTTTATTACATACTAGCTTTCCGCCCGCAGCTTCGCCCGCGTGGAGTTCGGTTATATCGCGTTTCCAAGAGAACCTTTCAAAAGTCTGGGATAAAAACTATCCTATGTTCTTTCTCAAGGTCAACTCTATATCTGTACCAAATTTCATTAAAATCACTTCAGTGGTTTAGGCGTGAAAGCGTAACAGACAGATAGACAGACAGAGTTACTTTCGCATTTATAATATTAGTAGTTTATATTATATTTTACCAGTTTTAAACTATGTAATATCATCATATATGTATGTTTTCTTGCACATAAGGAAGTTTTAAATCGAATAACACATACGCGGGTATCATTCAGTTAATTAGTGTAATTATATATAAGTACATTATTTTTCTTGTTACGTACGAAACACAAGCCTCGTTCACGATTCTTGTAATGATTTTGGTTGTTTTCTTAGTAAATTGAAATTCTTACCGTCCTACTACTCATTGCTTCGAAGAGATTTAAAATAATCCCTGGGTCAAGGTTTTGAAAGCATTCGGTCAGCGCTGGATGCATATTATTAGTATTGATTGACTTTGCCCATTCGTATCCACCTCGCTGTAATAATTACCTTAAGAAACATAACATTTAAATAGTATTCAGTAACGTATTTTTCAGATGTAATGATTTATTTTAATGAGATCTTAAGACTCACGAGTTTTAATCATTTAAATGAAATTAATATTTTTCGTATATAATACGCGTGCTCTATTTTTGTAAAGAACTACATACTCCCGACGTTTCGACTACTTTTCAGCAACCGTGATCACATCTCGTCTGCCCGTGATCACGAAAAGTATAACCGAAGAATATTAGTTTAATTTAAATAGTTTATTTTATATTATTATTTTTTTACATATTTAAATATTAATTTCGCTAATATGACAGGTGCTCAGCCATCGTGATTTATTGCGTATATAATTGTAGGGCGTGGGTGGTGAATCGAAAATCTATACGGGGTCAACGAACTCTTATCATACAGAATTCTTTTTATATTATTTTCTATAAAGATTTTCGAGTGTTTGAGAAATATTTTAAAGAAACTTTTGGAATATTTAGATCACTTTGATGTTATGTTTTTTCCTGTCTCTGTTTATACCATAGAATAATTTGTTGTATAAATAATTTTGACTTCCTGCATCACGATTGTATAATTTTTTATACAAACTGACAGATTTATTCCTTTGCAGTAAATAAAATTTATTATCTCAAATTTCATACACTTTGGAATATTTTGTAAAGTATAATTTAGATATGCCTAATATATACATATATTGAGTAATAATAAAGTTAGGTATAAAATTTGGTTGAAATAACAATAAATTAGTATGTATAATACAGTAATAGAATAAATTAATTTTATTACAAATAATATGAAGTAAATAATAGTTTGTAAAATCTAGTTTATATAATAAAAACATTGATATTTCCTAAATTATATGCAATAGAGACTAAAAATACCTTTATTAACACTGTATTTAAATATTAATTTATCTTAATTTTTACTAACTTTAGAAAATCTTGTAACTCATACCCAATAGACAGTTGAAACCAAACAGTAAAAATAGATTTAAATACATGAAAAGACGAATAAAAAAACATGTATTTCTTGGTGATTACGTATGAGTTTATATTGGTTATAAATTATGTATACGAGAGTGGGACCCCATTTGATGTTATTCAGAAACAGAACGGACGGACGGACGTAGTTAGAGATCATTATAATATATAAAACATCGACATAACGGACCCGCATCTTATGTGAAAACATTCATTCATTCATATATTCACTCATTCATTCATTTAAAAGTACATACTTTATGTTGATTCGAATGATAAACTCAAATTGTTAATGTAAACTCATATATTATGTTTCTATCATTGGAATTTTTAATTTTTATTTTGGTCTTTTAATACATATATATATATATATATACATATATATATATATATATATATACAAATACACACACACACATTCCTACACACACATACAAACACATATGTATATGTATTGATTAATTGTTTTTTCAAAGCAGGTGTATTCTTTATGTGTAATCAAGATTATATACAGTACTATTGTAATTTTTTTAAGTCTTATCAGTGAATAGTGTTTTTTATCACATATCTAAAGATAACATTATCATGAGACATTTATTTATCTATAAAAATCGTTTGTTTATTGTCTTTTTGCGATACAATTCGGTACCAATTTAGCATGACCTTTGGAATTATAGTCCAATGGATAATTTTTATTGAAAATCTTTGTGGATAATTACTTGAAATGTATCTTGTAGCAATGGTTTCAACCGATTCCAGAATGTTCCGTATCATTCGATAATATTTAGTAAATATCGATCGATTTCATTCGAGGAACACGCTTCGTTTTGTTGCCAACTCAAACCTGAATTTAATTTGGTCGTCCGAGAATTTCAAATGTCCTTGAAGTCTGGACAAAGGTTCTTTAGGACGCCAATGTATCCTCCATACATTATTCTTACTTTATTCATTTTTGTGTATCCAATAATGGTGTTCAAAGAATTTCTTTTGTTTTCTTATCTCATCAGATAGTCTTTTTATATTGGATTCAAAGTACAATTTTTATTTCTATTTATATCTTTAGGTTTATTAGCCTTGTCAACACGTAATATCATACAAATTCTCACATATTTTAGCATACATTAATCATTTAATTATATTCATAAAATATGTTTTAGTTATGTATCATATATGTGTATGGTAGTAGGAAAAATCCTTGTTTTCTGACGTGTGACCATTGATTCCAGATTCCGACCGCGTCTGCTGAGGGCCACTGCATCTGGTACGGAGTGTGCTCACAACCGACTGAGCTGAAGAAATTGAATTGTATGTACAATGGCACCGCAAAGCCTATTGAGGATGGAGTAGCGAGGGTAAGTAAAAAAAACTATATATATATCTTCTTCTACCTGGCAATTTCCCAGCTATAGCCAGGATCTGCCTTACATGTTGTGAATAGTTTTGGCTATTTGTTTTTACGACCGGCCGCCTGCCTGACATCAACCCTCTTTTGGGAAGCTTATATATATATTTGGGATTGCTGTCTAATAGAGCTGGTACTTTTAATAATATATCAAACCTTAAGAAATGAATTTTTGTCTTAAAACTCTTTAAATAGGTTAAATTTAATTTAGACAGACACTAACTTTCCCGCGTAAAAGTGACAAACCATATGTCATCGAATCAACGTCACTTCGGATGCGTTCGGGAATTTGAAGGTTCGGTTCAAATTAAATGTGTGTTCCATAAATTTATATAATATTTTAAAATATGAGAAGTAATATAAAAGTATGTAGTAAAATATTATAAAATTAATTGTGCATGGAGTCCCTCCGCACAGAAGAAGTGAAACTTCGTAATTCTGAAATAAAAACAGGAAGGAGTAGATATGGATTTTAAGGAATTTATAAGTGTTTCTTTAATAACAACTTTATTAACATTACTTACAAGTCATAATTGATTGCCCGCATGCGTTCTAGCTATACGCTGATGCTTAGTAGTTAATTGAGTCATTTAAATCAATAGTTTATACATTTTTAACTACTATCCAGTCGTTTTAATTACATCCACTTTATTAGATTGGACATATATATCGGCGCTATCAGCATTAATAACGGATGCGACATGACAATAACTTGAGCCTTTCCTCAATTATTATTATAAAACTTATTAGTATTCATGATTATTGTTAAGAGTAAAACGAAATCAAAGATTGTTTAAAAGGAGAATTAGAATGTTTGAATGTTGGTATAAATATGACGTCTGGAGAGTTCAGTGAGTGCGGACTATTGAATAATGTGATGAATGATTATGAAGAACCTTCGAGAATTACAAGAACATTTAGAACAATTGAAATTTAATTTTAAAATATCATGGAAGGTTCTAGAAGAAGTGATATTAGTGACGTCAGCGAGGCTGGCGTCTCTCTCTATAAAAACAAGGAATTTGTATTAAATTCGCTATATACATATTGTCTGTCCATGTATTGCAATGAGTATTCCAAGGGTGCACGATATTCTCAAACACTCGCTGCCACAATTCGTGCTGTTCCGACATTGACCCGGTTTTCATTTATTATCAGGATCATAATCACATGGAAATGAGTTTTTCAGTTTTCAGAGTTAAAACGTTAATTGAACGATAGTTTACTTTAGGCACGTCTTGCGTACCGAGATATGAGTTTCATGTACATTTAAATGAAACTAATATTTTTCGCATATAGAGTTTATTTTTGTAAAAAAAACTACATACCTACTCTCGACGTTTCGACTACATTTCAGAAACCGTAATGTGATAAAAAAATAAACTCGCGAAAGTCTTAAATCTTATTCATGTGCATTTTTTAATGTCTCAAAAATTATGTACCTAAGTTTTCGTTTAATGCAATCTTGTATACGAGAAGTAATAATTATTTGAAAATTTATAGACACTTGTCTCTTTTGGGAATATGGTCATTTCTCTAGTCTTAATTAAAATACTCAATAAATATTCTAAAGAAAAATTATATAAAAAAAACTTAATTAGGTATCCCAAAGTATTGTAACTTGTTACCTTGGTTTGTTTTGATTTATTTAATGTAAGTCGATACCTCCAGAAGGCTACATGCAGTAATTTGATATGTGTTTAGTCCAAGTTTGAATCTTCAAACTACACACGTAACGTTATCCGTTTCTCATATAAAATACGAAAATATATGTATACTTAAAATATATAATATATCTTGACGATGTAAAATTTACCTAAGTATAGTTATTTTAGTCGATGCTTTTCAAATTGCGACCATATTATTATAAAATTAAAGCTTAATTATCCTAAACTCAATATATTTTTGTCTTGTTGTTTTACTCCTAAGAAAAATCCACAATTTCTTTTCTTTGTATTTCGCCAAAAACAAACAATAAAAAACTTGTTCAAGTGAAAGTTAGCAACAGATAATGATAGAAGCTGGGTGAAAGATTAAACTAGAAATTATATCTGTTACTTAAAATGTGAATTAATATTGAACAATCACAGAAAATAAAAGCTTAAAATTAACTCTATCAAAAGTACTACAAAAACCAGTTATTGTATAACGCGTATGTTTATATATTTTTTTCTTTATTACTTCCATTTGGTAATTTCCGATTTCTAATACAAATACAATTAAATAAAAATAATTCGAATGGAATTTTTTAATTAGATAAATTTTACATGTTTGTTTAGTATTGACTATTGACGTAATATTTATGTTTTTAACACGCTTATATTAGCTTGGGCTGTATGTATGTATGTAACGGAATCTTTGAGCACAATTTTCACCGGTTTCTAAACATCTGATTAATTTGAAACTTTGTGTCTATCTCAAGGACCAATGACAATGCAATAATTCGTTAATAATTTCCCATTATCCTTGTTAGGGCCGCCAGGATTAATATATTCTTTTCATATATCCTCTATGAGAGTGAAAGGGACAGAGCTAGTGTGCGATCCACAAAAATCGTATTAAAAAGATAAAATAAGTAATAGTTTAAAATATATGTATAAACACGTAATTTTTTTAGTTTTTTTTAACAATAATTATTTTACGTAATTATATATTCATAGTCCAAGAGCTAAGTATTAACAAGAAGCCTTGAAGTTATATAATGTAGAAGTCTTTATATGTCTGTATGATAACATTGTAGCTAGCATGACAATATCCTCCTGGTCTGACCCACTTTAGGGTCGGTGAAAGCGGGCCAAAGCCGATTGACGTCATACAAATATAACTTAATATCTATGATATTTAATAAAAACTCTAAAATATACATACCAGAGTATTATGTTGAAGATTTCCAGTCGTTACTGGTTCTAAGACTGTCGGGAGTATTAATTTAAATGAAACTACCTAACACTATTCGGATGTACTATGCGTATATTGTTATTTTAAAACTGCATACTTTCGATGTTAAGGTTAGTTTTCAGCGACCGTGATCGCACACAGACGAGATAACATACATATCTTTTTATATAAAAGAAAGTTGTGTTAGTTACACTATTTATAACTTAAGAACGGCTGTAGGGATATGGTTGAATATTGGCGGGGAGATAGCTTAGAACAAGGAGACGGACATGGAATATTATGATATTTAACTCTGTTTGATACAAAAAGAAAAAAATCATAAAAAATTCCAATATTTGGTTATTTACCACTTCTAGGGCGGAATAGAGTTCGCCCGGTCAGATATACATATGTATATTACTAATGCCGAAATTAACGCGGACGAAGTCGCGGGCTAAAACTAGTTTTATATATTATTCGTATTATAAAATGGTTACCACAAGTTTTCATCGTGACACTACACACTCAGAGTTAACAGTTTCCTATGAATAAACTATCGCAGATTACAGTATTGACGTAAGTCGTTGAATATGAAAATTATTGAATATATTGTAATGTGACGAAGCAAATTTGTGTTTATCATATTCAATATTGACGTAATTTCATTGAATTACAGCCAGCTATATATGGATTTTTATATGTATCGTAATTGATAATAATAATAATAAATTTAATTTGTTACAAATAATTAATAATGTTTATTAAACCGTCATACTATATCACGGCTGACTCAGAGGTGTCGGGTGACTCGTGCAAATATACCTACGACTAGATATATATGTATCATATAATATGCTAATTAATATATAAGTAGATAATTTGCTTCAAACTTGTTCGTTATGAGACGAAAAGTCTCATCATTCAATGTATTCACGGTGCGTGTGCCGGGTCCATCGTTGTAGTGAGAGGAGCTTCAACAGTGCCTGGGACTTGTGACCCAGGTGTAGGTTTAAGGGACCCTTATCTTACGCGCGTTAAACCATCACCTCCACTGTCCAAGCTTTTCTCTCTACCTAACTAAATTTGAAACGAACCTACTAGGACTGCCTTCGAAGTACGTTCCAAGAATGTATTGATATTAGTTTCGGACAGGCTCAAGTCTTTTAGTAGGTTGTAGAGTGATTTATCTGCCATACCTCTCGCTACCTCTTCTATGTTTAATGTTTATTTAGTCTGTTAATGTGCGTAGTCTAAGTTTGCATCGTCTAACTACATACGACGCGTTTTCCGTTTCTCATTCAATAACCTACCTTAAAACTGTAACGTGCAAACATGTAGAAATGAACACTCATCAAATACTATTCATATAAAATGTTGTTAAGAAATAATAATCGTTATAGTCATATTAATAAAGATTAATATTGCATCATAATAAAGAAATGGCGAAAGGATGTTGTTTTAAAAGAGAAAATGTATAAAAACAGGTTGTTATGTCATAGAGTCGTTTGGCTTCTTCACATATTTGACATTCATACAAATATAATTTGCTTTTAAAAAGAATAAATAATAATAATTATTATATATAAAGGATATTATCGCCACTAATATTAAAAATGCGAAAGTCTGTCTGTCTGTTACATCTTCACGGCTAAAACGTTGAACCGATTTTGATGAAGAGGATTGAAAGATAGGAACATCCGTACATATACAATATATATATATATATATATATATATATATATATATATATATACATCATAAATCTTCACGAACTTTTACACTTATAATATTTGTTGAATGTAAATCATTATATATGTACATAAATACATTACCGACGAATAATGTCTAGAAAATAAATAGAAACTAAATTGCATCATTTTGAATGCGATGTATACATATAGCTTTTGGTTATATATTTTCATTTCATAATATTATAGTTGTACATACTAAATATATTATTATAATAATATACAATATAAATATTAAAGGCTCTTAAAGTTCATAGTTCTATAATTATGTAGTATTTTAGAATCAAAAACACTTTAACATATGCCATTTATATACATAATAAAA